TAGAATATTCAAAAGCGAATTGTAAAAATTTATAATTTGTTACAATTTCTTAGAACTCCTACCACGCCGAGTGTGGAAAATTACAAATTAATTCTCGCACTAAATTAAAAAAAAAATAACTGGCAAAATCTATGCAAAAATGTATAAAAGATATTCTGTACCTCCTAATCAATAAAATACACTCCCGGAGCGTGATCAATATTCGCGGCGCAGCCATGGCATTCGAACCACAGCACATCGGTAGTTATTTCATTTGTCAGTCTTCATGAGCTTCTTGAACTCTGATTTTCAACAGAGTGATTCGCCTTCTATTCATTATTCATTCAGCACTCCTTGAGCTCGTCAAGTTGAATTAAATAGTAAATTATCCCTCTCTCACCAAATGTCAAAAGGTCTTCGTGTGTGTACTCACCAAGCGTCAGCCAATCTTAAAACTTAATTACAAGTCGAGGTTGGGGATAGTTGCCTAAAATTTGCTTTTTAGCTGTGCAGGTGATTCCTGATTTCCGGCAGAACTACATTCCGGCATTCGGGACGAGTGCCCTTCTGGCTTGACATTGAGGAAGTTGGGGCTCCGCTGACCAATTTAAATACATCTGCACATTCGTTTTTAGCTATTTTACCGCAGCGTAACACTTTTAAGCACAAGATCACTAAAAAAACTGTTTGCACATTAGAAAACACAAATTTCTTTAAAATTACACATTTCAATTATCTTTTAGATTTAATTAACAGAATTGACACTTCTGTCATTACAATGAATTATCAAACTTCACAATTTAAAAAGCTTTTCATTCAAGAACTATTCATAGTAATGACACTTTCACAATGTTCGCACACACAGATGGGGCTGCGTACACAAGGCTTTGAATTCATAAAATCATTTATCTTTCTGAATCAGTCTGTACCAGTGAAAAACGCTTCTAACGTTTAGTGCGGCACCTGCGGCTACTCCACTCAGTAAGACATCCGCCGATTTAACAGATGTAGATGTCGCGCTGAGCAAAAAAGTCAGCACAGATGAAGTCTGCAATAAGCACGGTCACAAGCCACTATGGTTCTTGCACGAGCTACAAGAAATTAACGAATCTAATATAATATTCGGAGGAAACGTATACATATACCGTATTTACATACAAAAACAATGCACTCCATCATTGACGACGGACTATGAGGAACAGCAGTTGCAAGCTTAAAACCATAAAAAGCGACGGGACCAATGGATAGACGGCCGATAGTGCCGCTTTAACTGAATTTGGTATTCACACAAAACTTATGCGGCTATGTAAACTGAGCCGTGTGACTTGAAAAAAGTAATAAGAGCTGCAGAGCTGAATAGGGAAGGTACAATCCTCTGTACAACAACAATGTCAGGCTCGAAAGCAGAAACACTCTTGCCAATAGGCGGTACTTTTGGCTGAATAAAGACCAAATACTACAAGCCCTTCATAGCTCAAGTTTTACTGTATGATGCAGAAGCGTGGTCGATGTCGACCACCCTTGGTTCGGCGCTGGTTTTGGTTTGGCTTAAGATTGGTGGTCTCCTGCGTGCAGATGTTGGCGAATACCACAGCCGATGGAATGATGAACTGAATGAGCTCTACGGATCAAATGAAGAACGGCGCTCTGTTGTTAACTCGGCTATAACCCCGAATGTGGTGCCGACGCCAGTAAAGAAGAAGAAGAAGATGAGTCATGTTTCGCACTTTATTTTCCGTTGTGAGGAGTCGTCATCTTCTGTAAATGCCGAAAAATATGGTGTCTTAGAGACAAATTTTTTGATGAATTTCAGATAATTTCTATGAGCGAAAAGTAAGGTGAATTTTTAATTTGAGCTTCGCGCGTTTAAAATTTCGGCTTAATTCTTTTTTTTTAATGTTGGTAATACTGTTATTGACATCTACGCCAGATTTCATGTCAATGTCATCATTGGTATTTTAGTTACGCTTGTGTTTACTGAACGACTAAAAAAGCCTTCGGCGATTTTTATAATGTCTGATTTAATTGAGTAAAGAAGTGCGATCAAATTTTGTTTTCGGAACGAACTTTCGGCTGCTGAAACGTTGAGGATACTACAGAAAGCCTCTGGGGACTCAACTATGTCTATGCCTACGACCCGGAAACCACCGACCAATCAATCGAATATCGTGCTGAAGGTGAAGCACGACCTTCAAAGGTGAAGCACGTCAAAGCCGCTCAAAAATCAAGGTCACTTTGACTGTTTTCTTCGATTTTCGTGGTAAATAAGGAACATTATTTAAGAGTTGTACGATGTTTGCGTGACGATAATGCAGCGTCGCACAAAGCACTCATTCTTCGTGACCATTTCGGTAAAAATTCCACGAATATCGTTCCCGGACTTAGCACCGTGTGCCTTCTGGCTCTTATAAAAACTCAAGAGACCACTTCGGTTCAAGAGACCACCGTTTGAGGTCGATTGAGGAGATTCAACTTGAATCGGCGTGCTCTCTGAAGGCCATACCAGAACGTGACCATTTGTCTTGCTTTGATAATTGAACAAAGCGTTGACATAAGTGCATTGCATCGCAAAGAACGGTGTCAAGACAGCACCTTTCCTTTCGACTGTATTATAATACTCCTCTTGGTGTTCCCTTCGGAAGCCGATTGTTTCTCAACGCAAGATTGCCTGCCTACCATAAAAACACTAGAAAATATTATACTTGCGAAATTTTCTTCAAAGGTACAAGTGGCAACGGCGAGAATCCTGTTTCAGTCGGTGTGGAGTGGTATAGGCTTTTCCGATGTAGGGGCAGTAAAGGAATTATTTTGTTTTCGAGTCGGTGGTGCAGTAGATGAATGAAACTTCAAAAGGGGAAGTCTTTGTGGTGTCATCATCATCGGACGCTAGAGATATATGGGTTGACATTTATTTTTGGGATGAATGACTACATTCAATGATGGATTTTAATGTTCACCGTAACTTCAGCACTTTCGCATTCCTTCATCGCAGCTTGTGGCAGCTGTCACAACTCTTAGCCATCTCTTATTATTAAAGTAGTGGCTTATATATCATCCTCTTCGTTCAATATTTTTGGATCATCATCAAGAGAAGGATTTCCTACAGGGTCTCTTTCCGCATACACGCATATGCTCTCTTATATGCTTACGCGTATGTGCGAGTACGTGAATGATGAGCGATGGTTCGCTTAATATTGCGTGCAAAAATTCACTTAGCTCCGCTGCCTAATTGTGGGCGAGCTGGGCTGAATTAATGAGTGTTTAAGAATTTTAATTAGCTACTTCGACACGCCATTTTCGCATGTTACCGTTAGAATTTCAACTTTTCGGTATACTGATAAAGCACTGCCACACTGCCACAAACGCACATACGCTTAGACTGCGAATACTTCAATGCAATACAATACCTAGTCGCTTGTATTGTTGGACTGGGCTCAATTGGCTCAGATCACAAATAGTCTCAAAGCGGCCCACGTAGTTTGCTGGCAGGAGATATTTCGTCTTGATGTCACTATCGTCGGCGAACGCCAGCAGTTTTAGATTCTTATAGAAGATTGTACCTTTCCTATTCAGCTCTGCAGCTCTGATTACTTTCTCCAGCAATAAATTTAAGACGTCACACGACAAGGGATGACCTTGCCTGAAACTGCGTCTGGTTTCGAACGGCTCGGAGAGGTCCTTCCCGATTCTGACAGAGCTTTTGGTGTTGCTTAACGTCAGTTCACACAGCCGTATTTGTCATGCTTTCGACCGACCATATTCTGCAAAGTAGCTGACGCATCCACCTTGTGAGTTCTACGTCGCCGTATTTAATAGCGATCATACGATATTTTGGACCTAAATGTAACAGATTAGTCCCTCCGAAAGGATAAAAAGGCATTCCTTTGAACCTCATCTCGGACCAGTCATATTTTCTTCAGGGCTTCCATAAACAACAATAAAAATGCAAATTTCTGGTTTTGAGTTCCTTGGCCAACCCAATAATTGCAAAATATTTGCTTATATTGTTGTTGTTATTGTTGTTGCTAATAAAGTGGCTGTTATGAAGTAAGGAAATGTGATATTTTACCCGCTGGCTAAGCGCCGCATTGTTAAACTCACGCTCTCGCATTGAACTAACGCTGGCACTGAAGTGGGAGTTGGTGGGAGCGTTGGGAGCGTAATTATAAGTGCCCGCCACGCATTGCAAAGTCAGTCACGTGCAGCGCACTTGTAAACAAAAGCAGGTCCTCCACGCAACCACTCCAAGCTATGCACGAATATATCGGAATGTGTTGAATGAACTACGACTGTCTGTGTGAGCTTGTGAGGAGCCCTACCCAACCATTTGCTTAATAAAAGTGGAAAGCAACACGTAATTTTTATAGCCGCTCACTTTGTGGTGGCAAAGCTTTGGGTAAGCCTTCCAATTATATGCTACAGAAGAGGATGTAGAACACTAAGCTTTAACCCTTGGCTCGTCTCGTAGAAATCGAGACTTTTTAGCTGTAATTGTTTTGGAAAACTCATTTAATGCCTCGCAGCTGTTTTTTCAACGTTTCAACAAGGTAAGCGATTAATGGCAAAATTAGACTTTTTATCGGAAACTCAAAGGGGCTTCCATATCATGTTTTAGTTAACTAAATGGTAAACCTAAACCTTTCTTGTACCAAACTATGCGAATGTCAAAAGAAGTGTTGGCCACTGCCTCTTTGTGCAGTCTCGTTTTTCGTGGAATACACTTTGTATTAATTTTTCGTACGAAACTCATTTACAACTCGGATAGAGATAGCGAGAGTCAATGTAAACAAACCAAAAGCTCTTTGTGGTTTCCCTCACTTACTCTCCCCCCCCTTGCTCTCTTGCGAGGTATACTCTCTGCTCTCTTTTCTGATGGTTTGCTGCTTTTTTGCGCTTTTCCAGAAGCTCTTCCAACTACTTCCAGTCTCCAAAGTTTGCTTGGAATGCGGCTTATCAGCGCCGTTGCGGCAAAAGGATGTGATGAAATTCGTCCTTTGCACAGTTCGCGTTTGTTTCTTGGAGTATACGGTTGTAAATAGCGGAAGATTATGAACTTCAGGCTATAACGGTAAACACCCTAATGTGGCAAGTGTTTTGAGTGTTAGTCAAGCAAAGAATAAGTTAAAAAAATTAAATAATTAGTGATTACAGTTAAGGAAGCAAACAAGAACAAGCTGAAAGTGCCAAAAATAGATGAAACTATACATACACACATACATATATATTTCCATAAGTGAAGTACAATTTTCTCCGCTGCCAAATGCAACACTGACTTGCAACATCAACATGAATTGTGCCAAAGCAACTCCACTCCGTCGGAGCAGAGTGTGAAGTGTGTGAAAGTGAATAAGAAAGCGAGAAAGCCACATGAAGCACGAAGTTCGTCAGAAGTTCAATGAGTTGAAAAATCGCAAAAAATCAAAAAAAAAAATTTTGAAATATTTGCCGAAAAAATGTTGTCGTGAATTTCAATGAAAATCCCATGAAATTCAAGTGCAAAAGTTGCGAAACTGAGTGAACGATTAAGAAGTGAATAGTTGTTGTAAACGTGAAAATTCTTCGCTTTCACAAGGACCCGGATTACCTTTGAAAGTCGATGCGAAGCAGCAAGTTTTTGAGCTCATCAAAGCACATTATTTTAGGTAAATTTCAGTCAATTTTCATTAAAAAATTTCAATTTGGAGATTCTCTAGAATTATGCTGAATTTGGCCTCAGCTGTTGCAGCTTTAATGCACCGTTATTTGAGATGTGATCTGTGTATTTTTAGGACTTCATTTCGGAGCTGATTAATGGAACATTTTATCCACAAATATCTCCTCGATCCCAAGCACATCCCTTTAAGCCCCACTAATGCACTCACACTCAACTTGCCTTTCCAAGTACGCATTTGTGTACAGTATGCACGTGTATGTATGTCATTTATTGTATGAAATCCACAAGTGTAATACATTTGTACGGCAAGTCCATCGGGAAATCTTATTGAAGTGGAAATAATGCTGATAGTAGCATCCTTTGCCCTTGTCTCACGCTCAGCAGATTTCTCTTCCGCTCCGTCTCGTTCCCTTCACTCCATGCCATTGTAATCGCTTTGCTTGGTTTATTTTCGCACGCATCACTTTCTATTAGTAATTTTCTACTCCTTTTTTCCGCTCTGCTATTGATTCAAATGGAGTTTGGCCTTCAACTCGGCAACGCATTAGAGGATATTTGCAGGATTCGCTTACAATTTATGCTTATTGCTGCCAAGTGCGCAACCAAAAATAAAAAAAAAAAAAACAACTGAAATTGCTGTCGCAAGCCTTTATCCCTCTCATACATATTTATAGTGATTATTTCTTTTCTGTTTTTCTTTTTTTCGAAACCGTTTCTGTTTTACTTCATTTATTCTCTGGCGTTCAATCGTCGTCATTTTATTTCCATTCCAATTTTCACACTCCGCTGAAAGGGTCCTTTAGTGCTGATTATTAACTTTGACTTTTCGTGTATTTATGTACAAGTGTACGTGCCAATAAATACCCGATAAATACATGATCATATCGTATTTATGACGGAACGTGACTTTTTGAAATTTTCTCTACATACATAATTCGGTCATTACACGACATTGAATATTTGTGTCCTTTTATTTGTGTAAGAGTGTGCTAATGATTTCCTTCCACGGCCTTTTTGGAATAATTCCTAAGCAGCAGATTTACATGCGATATTTAATAAGAATCCTAGACAGTGGGACCTTCTTGCATATTTTTAGGTTAGGACCGAAGCTATCTCCTAACTCTGCGGCTATCAGGTGGAACCGCTTACTTTGGTTTCGAATTTGACAACTATATTTGGTAAGGGTTGTGGAAATCTATAATATTTTTCGTGGCGTAAAATACTGTCTTTACAATTCTCCGTTTTCTTTTATTTGCCGGAAATAGCATTTGTGTGATGATGCAAGCTTCTCATAAAGACGATCCGCCGTTCAGAGGCGATCTTTTCTGCTCTATTTCTTGCTATTACATAAATTAAGTTTCTATAATTTTGGATATCAGTCAAACCAGGAACCTGAAAGCAGATATGCATTTTTTGGTGTGTACTTGAGCTATTTCTGCGATTCGAGTTTCATCTACTGAGCGTCTTTAATCTTCGGAGCAGGAAAAGTATCAGTCTTTGGCTAAAAAAAACATCATTCTTGCATAACTTTAAGCCAAAAATTTCCTATGCGACTATGCCATGACAACTTGAACTTACCAAGATTGTTTCAATCTTGACTCTCCTAGACCATGGCTTTGATATAATAATCTTTTCAAGGGTATGCAAAGTCGTCAGTACCGACAAACTCAAAAAAAATACTCATAATTGCTAACATTCACATTTCACCATCAGCTGGCCTAGGAACAGCAGGTACATAATTATTTCGGACAAGATTGCCGAAAATGCAAAATTTCTCGCTCTCTTTTACTAGATCTTAAAGTTCAAGGAATGTTGCGTAAGAATAAGATGAGCTTGAACTCGTAGGCAGCAAAACAGCTCCATGAATCCTCAAATCAAACGTAGTCTGGTACGCTATTTGGACCAGAGGTGCGATAGGACCTTAGTTAGGATTGTGCTACATACCACACAATTTTCCGGGAAAACGCCGAGTAATCTCTCGTCGTGTCGGTTTCAATTGGTCATCGAGATCCTGCGATTGGATACCGTTGAAATTGTTTGTGGGGCTCCGAAAAATACCATCTTTATGCGGATAAACTTTTAACCAACATTCGTCAAGTTATTACCACCCACCAACACCACCCAATAAGTTCCACAAAGTGGTTCAAAATTACCTCAATCGAATCGAATTGAATTTCATAAAAAAATATATTTCAAATGTATTTTATTTATGCTTTTTCGAAACCTCAAAATGTTTAAATCTGCTTTTGGATGAGTCTCTGATTGAGCATAAAAAATTTCATTAAAATTCCTCCTCTGTCGTAGGATCGAAATATCAAGGACTGTTATAAGAAGCCAAGGAAGTTTAGCTAAAAATGTTAATGACTAAAATGTTGCAATAAAATTGCTAATACCACACTTTGCACAAGAAAAAAAGTAAGGAAAAAAGTAAGGAAAAAAAGAAAAATACTGGAAGTTCCATAAAATCCAAAACGTCTTATTCGGTCTTCTTGGCGAGGCTTGAAATATTATACGTCTATTACCAGAGCGCTCTCAGGAAATTAATAGTTTCGTGTCTGGTTCTCCTTTCCAGAGAATGCCATTCATAATTTCAGAATTATTTTGCAAAGCTCCCTTTACCGCAGGTGCGCCGTAATTCAGTCATGGAATGACCTTCAAAATTATTTTTCCCAACTAAAAAAAGAATTTATTTAAATTGAATTTTCCGCTGCTAATTTCATTTTTTGCCCTTCGCACTCTACAACATTGCCATTACATTTTCTTTTATCTTTGCAGAGCAGCAGACGAAAACAGAACAGACCACAAAGTTGTTGAGAGTGAACAGATCGACGCACCACAGCTTCCCACCGGAGCCCACCATTTATACTCGCAGCCTTCAGCGTCCTCGCCTCCCGCGTTGAAAGAGAGACTTCATCGACTAGCGCAGCCCATCTTCCGCAGCTCGTTTGAGTTTTATAAACTGGCGAGAAAGTTGGCTTCGCACGTACACGGCAAAGTCCCCCCACACGCACCAAGCAGCAGCAACAGTCAGTGGCGCTGGTTGCATGATATAACGAACTTGGAAACTTTTCTAGAGTACTAAGTGCATTAGTCAGTCGCTTTTTTTCGCTCGTTCGGCGCAAAACATTTACAAAGTAGAAGAAAGTGAACTCCTCATCGCATTGTTAGTGGCGCTGTTACGTGTTTTGCTTCGTTGAAATGTGTCTCGGCCGACAGCCATCGCACGGGCTTCTACGCACGACTCCAAGTATATGATTGCAACACACACATCGCACAGCACTTAGTGGCACATGTTTTGAGGAGGTATTTTCCTAACTTCCTGTTTACTGAAATGGGAACAACAATGTCCTTGGCACTTGCAACCCAAACTGCAGACGAATGAGTGCATGCAAGAGTTGTGGCAAAGGAAGCAGCCGATAAGAAGGAAATTAAAAAACATAACAACAACTACTAAAGCGAACTTTGCGAGGAACTTCACATCGCAAGAGCCGATATACAAAGTGCGCATTTTTTCTTCAGCAAAATGACAAGGTGGCTTATGACAAACAAAAGGGTGTTAACCGCCACTTGGCTCTGTGCGCTCTTGTTGCTGCAGACGCAAAGTGGCGGCACCGCACCCACACATCACCTGGCAGTTAGTGTGGAGGGAAACACACCGACGCTGATAGTAACGTCGGCGGAAATTGGCATAACGCCAAAAATTATGCACGCAACCCGAACCCCAATGCCCCTGCATGCCGAGATCGAAGCCGGGATGACAACTGTGGGTGTACCTACTACGCATAGTCTCGAAATGCAGAAAGTGTCGAAGGGTAGGGTGCAGAAGGTGAAGGGGAAATCCCATAAATCGGTGTACGGCAAGAAGTGGCATTATGCCGCCAAAGAGCGGGAGAAAAGCAAAGAGAAGACAGCGCTTACGAGTGTACCCACAGTTGTTGCAATCAAACCAACCACGGTACATCCGGGCACTCATAGGGCCGATATAGCGAGCACAAATGCCGTCAGCTCAATACAAAATATTGAATCTACAACAAAAACAAACATCAAAGTAGAGGATTTACAGGCAAACACAGACGTTGCGAGGACCTCAGCCAACGAGACTGGGGCAGAATCGAATGCCGGCTCAAGCAGTGTTGTTGTTGATGCCATCATTAAGCCAAAACAGTTTGACATAAAACCGGTCGAACAAGAAAATGGAAGCACGCCAGCCGCCGAGGTGTCTGCGACAATTGGCAGCTTGCCACATTCAACTGAGGTGACAACAAAGGCAACGAGAAACATAAACACTGAGGCACCACCACCAATAACTACATTTACAAGCACTACAGTTGCCGAGGTGGGCGTAGCGACAGAATATAACGGTGATTTTCCATCACCCCATCCTCGGCGTCTTAATGGCTTCGGCACGAAGGAGACACCGGCGGCAGGAACCACAACACGCAGAACGATTTTGGCCGAAAAAGTAACGGGAACACCAGCATTCATAGAGCTACATGACACAACAGCAGCAACAGCAACAAAAGGTACGTCTACCGCATCAACTACTACAGCAGCAAACGCAAGTGAAACTGCTGCAACTAAAATGCCAATCTCGGCGACAACAGCAAATGTGCCGCAGATTGCTATCCAAATTGAAACGCTGCCAAAGGCGATAACGGTTACAACTATGTCACCAGCAACAGTAGCAACAACAACTGCAGTGAATATCGAAACAGTTACCAGCACACTTATCGGCACCGGCAACGGCAATGGAAGGAGCTTCTCCATCCCCATCAGACATGAAGCAGTGAAGGCCAGCGAAATGGCAACAACAACCACCGAATTTCCAATAACCGAACGCGTAGATGTCGTCACTAAAAGTGGCCTGGCAGTGTCAACATCATCATCCATTGTGAGCCCCGCAATCTTCCGTGATGTAATTGAAAAGAGCTCCACGAGCATCGGCGATAAGCCGGTGTCATCAGCCCACCCACCAACAGAAGGCGACACCGACAGAGTAGACAAACAAACAGCCATGGAGGTGGACAGCAGGACTCCACCACCAAGGACGGAGATGGCCAACAAGGAAACCATTTTAATTTTAACTACAAAAACAACTCTCTCAGAAACCCCATCGGCAATACCAATAACAACAGCAACAACAACAACCAACCATAGTATACCAACTACACAATCAAAACATACAGCCACACAAAATGTCAACCCGGATAGTGGCATAATATTTATTGACGACGTGTCCGATAACCATGAAGACTGGCGAAAAGACGACGCCGAAAAGACGCCGGCTGCAGAGGAGGTGGAAATGCAGCACGATGAAGCCATTATTGGCAGACACGGCGACGTTAGGAATGCCAGCGCACACGAAGACACTGATGCCGCCGGTGGTGGGGGTGGGACCGGCGCTGAAGGCATCATAAAACTTATTGACTTGGAAAAACATGATTTAAAAGCGATTGTGAAGGCAAAGCAGTTCCGCGGCAACAACAAAAATGACACGTCAGGCGAAGATGATGGCCACGATGGTGTTAAAAAGACGAGGAAAAAGCAACTTACCGCGAAGCATTATCTGCCCATTGCCGGAGTAAGCTTAAGTGCTGAAACTCATTTCGAAGATTTAGTGTTTGGCCCTCGAAACGAGACATCAGCAGATCGAGCTCACAGAACGTCTCTTTCTGAAGTGATACACAAGAACCATAGCACGGTAGGGATGAGCCAAGGTGATGTCCTATCAAAAACAATACTGCAGGGTGAAAAGGCTACGCAAATTATCGGGCTTGAGGGTGCCAAACTTAAGAGCGAGCCCTCACATTCTCTACATTATCACCAAATTCAAAAATTCACAACTCCTTCCCCACCATTAAAACCAGTGCACAATGGTTACTTAGGTCCAATACTCATGGAAAAGAAGCGTTTCACGGTATTTCACGACGCGAAAAAACTTCATCAGCACCATGAGACCTCGATCGAAACGCAATTACGTGAGGGAAGTCTCGTTGAAATTCTAGCACCAACCTCGCTGTTGGAGCAGTCCACAACACAGGCACCAGGGAGACAACTTCTGGCTGGCGCAGTTTCAATGAGTACGACGACTCCAGCAGCGCCTTCGGCCTCGCCCTTCGCTTTTATTTATCCTATTAACGAACAGAGTGCTCCAATGCTTTCCACAACGGTCTTTCAAGTGCCAGAGTCCATGAGCAGCACTACTCGCCTGCCAATGGGCACCAAGCATCTTCACACGAACGACACTAGACCAGAGCAAGGACGTTTACGCGAACAGATTCAGCAACAACGTGAATTTTTGAGTACACCGAAGTTCGAGAATAGTGAACGTACCGAGTCAAAAATATCCGACATACAAGTTGAGGTGTATGACTCGACTGTGGATTCCATAGTGGCGTCTACAAATTTTAAGGATAGCGAAGGCTTCTATGCGCTCCCATTGGAAGCTGATGCCGATACACCGGCTGGTACTACTAGGCCACCAATGCAGCCTCAGGAGCGTTTCACACAATATGTTGTCGATCGAGCCGATTACGCCACGCAGGAGTCGAGTGCTACGCCCCAACTAAACATAGCTGCGGGCAAGCCAGAACCTGCTGCTATTGAAATACATATTAATGTGTCAGAGGGTATCGGTAATGAGAGTGAGGATTTGGAATTTTCTTATAGGCAGCCAGAATATGGCAACTCGCGTCCTAACTCCGTAGATGAGTTAATGGCGAAGACGGCAAAAGCCATATCGATGAGGCCCATTACCACCAGCACAAATGCCCGCCAAAACGAGTCGAATACACATGTGAACGTTGAGCGCGGCGATGAGATTTTGGTTGTAGAGATTATTGACACAGGCGATAACATCACAGAGGGCTCACTGAGTGCGGAGAATATTAATCCGATATTTACTTTTCGCTCTGATGCCGAGTCTGATATCGAGTTGAAAGACATTAAATACCTACCACCCGAGGTTAAAGTGAAGCCGCCACAGATGTCCGACGAACTCTTTCTGGCTGATCTGAAGAAAGAAAACGGTTTGCCAAAACCGCCATTGCCACCTCCGCCACCACCACGCAAGCCGACCATTGACCGAGACTCAGACACCATATTCTATATATCCAATACCGAGGTGAAAGTGGGCGAGTCCCTACCCACGGCAAACACGAACTATGAACAGCAACAACAGCAGCAGGAACAATTGCGCAAGACTAGATTAGAGAACCAATTCTTTCCGGCAAACTATCTAGCGAGCACTCATCCGAACTCGGCACCACCCCAACTACGCTACGAAGAAGACATCATCCTTTCACCCGTACGCAACACCGCAGATTCGCTAAAGATATTCCGCAGCCAAGGCGATGGCGCACCACCGTTGGACGTCACTTATGTCGGCGAGTCGGTGATGGAAGTAGAACAATCTTCTGGTGCGGGCGCAGGTGTCAGCACTACCATCGCAACGGCCGCCTTCCCTCCTGGTGCTGTCTCACCTTCACAAATGCCAGACGTCATCATACAGCCTGCCATTTTGCCCGAGATGTCGATTGGGGTGCCGGTGATAGGTGAGTTGCCGCCACAAATTGAACTCAAGGAAATCGATTTCATGCCCGACGAAGCAAACCAACAGCATTCAGGCATGTACGAGAACAACATGCTGGAGGATAATGGCAATGGCAATGCCAACGGTAACGGCAACGGCAACGGTATCGCCATTGTGAATAGCAACGACGTTGATAGACTTGCCGAGTCTTCCGTACAGTACGGTGGCGATCTGATAGATGAGAGTGCTGGCGGCGGCGGCTTTGATGGTGTAGAAGGTTCCTACCCATTCGGAAATCCAGCTGTAATGGCGCACAACAACAAAGCAGCCCACCATGAGGCAGAATATGCACACTTCACGGTCAACCATGGCGTAAATAATCTGCGAAAGGATGAGTTGAGCGTTGATGTGGCGGCGGTGGGCTCCGGGGAAGTGCCATCTGGGCAAGTAAATTTAGAGAATGGCGGTGAGTTGAAGGAATTGCTTGCGCGCAACGGTAACGAGACATTCCCCTTATCCATGCTGGCGAATGGTAGTTACGCTGGCTTAGCGTCGGCTACCGAGCGCATGAGTAATGCCACTGCCTACTCAGTGATGGAGGAAGAGCGGAACGAGCTCGAATTGTGTGAGTATACATTCATGTGAGACATTCAAATAATATTGTTCATAAAAATATTATGATTTCCATTTAAGAACCGTTATGAGTGTGCCCTTTGATCTCTTTTTCAGTGCTTAAAAACCATTATACACTCGTAGTGGGAGCCTTCATTGTGTTGCTGCCCGTCGTTTTGACTGCCGCTCTAACTTGTACCATGTGGTGAGTATTATTTATATAATTATTTATAAATGAGGTGCATGATCCGAAGCTATTTTAACTTGTGTGGGAAAAAATAATTTTTCACTAATTCGCAATAGAAACGCATTGAACTCAGAAGAGACTACATAAAAAAACATTTATTTTTGCAATATTTAATTAAAATGCAAACTTAAATTAGTTATTATTTATTATGAAAAATTGATTCGCTTCAAATTTTCATCTGATAGACGAGCTTCAAAGAAACTGAGTCCATTTCAGGCAGGCTGTAATGGTGAGAGATAAATTGAGAGTGAAGCCACAAGAAATCAATATTTATTTGACTATGTCCAGACGAGGAACTGATTGAGCATTGAGATAGCTACAGCAATTGAAGGTCCCTCTGCAGAAATGAAACAGGATATAAGTTCCTGTTAATTGGCAATTAAAGACAAATTAAAAATGAAATTGAAGTTCTATTAAATTAATTAATCAATTTATTTTAATCTTCATCTTTCATAAACCCAATATTAATTAACCCACGAAAGAGTATATAACATTAACAGTTAAAGCCTCGCTGTCAGCTGTCAATTATTGAGATTTTTAGCTAAATTGAGTATGTATGAACACCAAATTTTGTAATTTAGTTTACCTGATTTGGTTGGCCTGCTGGAGCAGAGATTCAAATAGTTATTATACATATTTATTCTCAGAGTTAATGAGTTAAGTTCACAGTTGCTTGAATCAATCACTGAGCTCTCTTGCTACTCGAACCTCTACTGACCGTCCTGTTTGCCCACCACATAACTGATGGCTTTCACTGTACACTGTTCGTCATTTTATTCTCATCTCGTCCACTTTGTGTTTCTGCTTCACGAGACCGTAACCAATTTGTAGTTGAGCCTTTGGCTGAATACCGCTACTCGTGTACACTACGCTTGGTTGCTTGCCGCGGCACGGTCCAATGCTTACCGTTAAATGGTAATGCACCCAGCCATAGATATCTATATGTGTTATGTGTGTATGTCCATAAGTCAGCAAGCAAATCGCCCAAAAATGCTCAACAATGTTTTTGAAATTCAATCAGGCCGAGGTAAATCATTTTTTATTGGAAGCTGTGTGCGAGCTTAAGTCAAACAGGTTTATGTCACCATAGGGAGAGTCAAATATCGAATACTTCGGCTGGTACTCAAGCTTGCCTCACTAGGATCCATGGCAGCAGATGTATGTTTTCTGGAAACAATTCAGTACATTTACTTCGAGGTGTGTCTCGGAAAGAGCTCGATAGAGGTTTTGAGAAATAAAACGACCCGATAGAAGAGGAAGGAAAGCAGATTCCAGCAAAAAGGTTAGACCAGAATAGTCGTGAATACAGCCATACAGAGGATTTTGACGGTCACCTTGCAAAAGAATTAAATCTGCTGGAAGAGATAAGTATGCTCTGCAAAAGCATTTTATATCTGAGACCTTGTTGAAACATCCAGTGGTTCCTAGTAGTAGTATGCCCCGGGCAGGGACGAATGGAGCTAATTGACCAATTGTGTGTACCGTATCCACGAAAGGGCAGAAAACATGAGAACTGTTTATGCACCACAAAGAAAGAAATTCGTTGTCTTTCTAAAGGATAGAGGAAATACCCTTTCAATGCACAGTTTCAGGGATTTGAGAGGGTTGTGCGTTATCTGTAGAGAGATAAAAGTCGAAATTCCTGACAGGGTCAAGCTACTCAATACAAAAGCTCGTCAGTCAAAATGTAAATGGCTACATTCAGGCAACTATTTGCCGCCCACGTTTATGTCCTACTCCGCTAAGCTCATTTGGCCTTTGACAAATCGGTTGTTTCATCCCAGCAAAACGTACTGATTACCTCAGCAATAAATCTCCCCTGAGCTTTCATTTAGTACAAACACACTCACATGCACGTACACAATGAAAAAAGCAAAGAAATTTTTCTTCCATACTAAAAGAGTGCTTTGGGAATGGAGTGGCAGGGTGTGGATGACAACCGCAAACATCTTTTTCGCAGAAGACAACGGTTTGTTATGCACATCAGCTAATACACTACGTCACACCACAGGTCGCCTGAAAGGTAGCCCGACGGAACGACGATTAAAGCGAAGTTCGAAATGAAGTAAAGAAGAAAACGCACACAATGTCAGACCCAACAGCTGTTACTGGCAGCATAACTGAGCCGGTTGGAAAGGTGTGGCAACGTAGAGCAGTTGAATTGTTAAGAAAATACAGCATCAACAACAACATTCGCACAGAAATGGCGCGAGGAAGCGTTTTGCAAATCATGATCGGTTTTCTATGTCTTCGAAGCGCACACGGACGGGATGGTGCTATGGAAATAGACGGGATTAAAATGAGCATGAAAGCGTTACCGTGAAAAACAGAATTCCACTCAAATGTCTTTCTGAACGAAAAGCTTTGCGGCACAACCTTATGAACATGCAAGTTGTTAAGCCATTTGTGTGAGATTTAGACATATGTGAGCGATTCCCACCGTTTAATCCTGGGAATTAGCGAGCCTCACTAAAACTCGCCATCAGATATTTTGCTTACTTTAGTACTTTTTAACTTTGAAGTAAACCCCTTTTCAGCTGAATAAACAGCACCCGGGGGCATGTGGCTAAGCAACAATTGCAAATAAGGAGATTTCTAATGATGAAGTACATAAAAAAAGTATACGAAATTACTTTATGCCAGCATCATCAGTCGATTTATCTGGGTCTCTTTTGTCATAATCCATCGGTAAAGTAGGATGTGTCCGCCACCTTGATGGCACTCTAAGCCTTTTACCTGTCTTAAGCGTTCTAAAACGGACCATAAATAAATGCAAGTTTGAGTCAACTTCAGAGGCTGGAACTGTCAGTGGTCGTACTCTCTGAAGAAAACCGCGGCCAATTGATTGATTTCACAGTCTAAGCATTTTTTTGGACTCAAGAAATATCTATATTGAAACACACGCAAGATTCACATCCCAACCTCAATCGTTTTTCACCTAATGACATATATATATACATCCTTCGATGATAGCCCGCACTGTAGCCCTAAGCTCTAAGAGGTTCAAATTTCCGAAAATATCTAAAATCGATTAGCCACTTCTCTTCATCTCATGGGCTTTCAATAATTTTTTTCATGAATTGAACTCGTGTCAATAATAAATGTTTTCTCACCCACTTCGAGCATCTGTAAGCCACTACAAGCGTAAAACTAAAAGTAAGTCCCCGGGATTACCTTCGAAGGATTAAGTTTACAACTTCATTTTGTTTGCCAAATATCGAAGCACCGAGCACAGCTACAACAACGGCAGTTGTCATAACATTATTTGTGGCAACAACAGTGCATCATTGCCACGTGAGCTCTTTAAAGTTGCCATACAAAAGGCATGAAAGTTCACAAAGTACCAAAGACAAAATATAAGAAAAGTTTCCCGGTGTGCTTGAGTGCAGGCAGCCCTCCGTGGCTGAGAGCGTTATCCGCGTATCCTTTCATTTCCATGCACACATGCACTGAAAGCCACGGAAGCCTCTACTGTCACGCCTGGCGCGAGCTTAAATCTCACTTGAAAAGTCACTTACGAATTCAGTTTAAAGTAAAAAGCCGTCAGTTGTTCCAGTTAAGACACCCAAATCAATTGTAATGGAGGTAATAGAGACTGGTTCCAATCCACAAGGTGGAGGAGAGAATGCATAAGGGAGTGAGAGAGAGGTGGTTACACAAGTGAAAAGTTTTAAGGAGATTAGAAAATCTCGTTTTTATTTTTCGTCTGCCGTGAGGCATACGAGATGAAGATGGCAAATACAATAATAAAATAGACACAATAAAACAAGCGAAAAATATTTTTGCTAAATTGGATTTCGAGCGGTGGTTTGCGGCGCCGTTGCTGGCAGCTATTAGAGGTTGTAAATTGAATCAGTAAATGGACAAACTTTTGATGTCGAGCCAACTTTTGACATTCGCATACTTTGTATGTAGATGTGAAGGCATACTTGTGGGTTTATGTGTTTGTGTGTATTGCGCAACGCATGTGCAACTGGATTACGTTGGCAAATGAATAAATTATATTCAGAAATGTGACACTTTGTTGAGAAATCTGGAAATTTTTTTAACTTGATGTTCTTAGCTGATTTTTGACTTTTCCAAGAGGAAAATGAAATGTGAAATGGAAAGGAATGCTCTCTACGTGTGTATTACTTCGTTTCTAGTTAAAATTCTTCTGTAAAGATTCTCCAATACTCATGAGAGTTCTTTTTTGTGAACCTCCGTTTCGTCGTCCCCATTTTTGAATACAGCTCAACCTATGCTACTCGGCCTTCACCATAGACTGGGTATTTCAATTTCACTGAAATTCAGCAGGTTAGAGATTTGATCCGTCTATTAACACAGTGTACCCTGGCATCGGTCACCAAATGATAAGGCGAATGCATATCTTGACTGTAATAAGATTGTGCTCCGAATCTGATGAGTTCGAGTTTTCAGCCAATCGAGAGCCGGAGAGCTCTTTTAAGTGTGCTCAATTCGCTAATGGAAGTTATATTTGTTGGCATGGTCTTTTTTGACAGCTTCTTTTTTTTACGGGTTGTGTTGAGATTTCTTCACCTTGCTCCCATCCGACCTTGTCCTGCACATCGCGAAGTCGTTTTTGGGGAATATTCCGGAGTGACAGTCTTTGGCTGTAAAAAAATTTGGGTGGTTCTGGTTTGAAGATCCGACTGTCGTGGAAACTAATGGACTGAGGGGGGGTTTACAGAGGACATTATCAATATATGACATTCCTCGCCGCCGCCCCTAAGGTGAACAGACATGCAATGCGATTCGACCGAAAATGTGGTCTCACTATAGCACTCATTAACTGCATGATAACTGAAGGAAAACCCTCAGATTATACTTATTTTGAGCCTCTCTTTGGGCGGCACTTTTTTATATGTCAAAATTTTAACGTTTTCCTCCCACTTTCTTCTTGACAGGCTCGTCTATCTTAAATATTTTGGTTCATCGAATACCAGGAACGCCGATCAGACCAATGGAAATGTGGCAAATGGCAAACATGGAGGAGAACATGGAAGCACAGAAGACGAGGTAATTAAATGCGAATGTCAATAAGTTTTTTATCTTGGCTAACTTTAATAGAAGTAAATACAATCTATACGCAATCACACAAATTTAAGTTTTGAAATAAAAAATTTGTTGTTTTTAATTTAAAAAAAAATCCATAGCGGCAAGGAGACTTTTCTAATTAAATGAGTAACTTACCACCTCTGCCAAATGCCTTCACAAATGTCTTCAGCAAATCTGTTTTAAGCAATCAAGTTGTAAATATATTTCCCCATTTAATATTGGCGAATGAATTGCAGGGATGGAAAGGCGAGAAGCATTGAAAGTTTGGTGAATATTAAACTGCTGAGAGTGTATGTGTGTAGATGGAATGGTTGACAGTATTCCTAATGGGTTGCCGTAAGTTTTTCCCAAATCAGCCGGAACTCAGATGGTCCACTGTACTTTCACGGTTGGTTGGTTGTGGAAATTTTAATTAAAACGGAGATAGGAAATGCTAACGAAATGCGGTGCAGACAAATAGCAACGGCAGAAACAACAAATATACATGAGTATGTGTGCATGTAACCATACATACCGATGTCTGCAGCTTGGCTAACAAATCAAATCTCCGCTTCGGGCTGACTGTGAGCGGAGCTGTGTGTTGTTGTCGTTGTTGTTGGCTGGTGGACATGGCGGAAACCAATATCATTGCCGATAGTAGGCGTCGTCTGGCGATCTGTGACATCACTGCTGCTGTTTGAAAATTACCGTCGAGGCTGTTTTCTGTTCACGCCTCTTGCTTACACCTTTCAATCTGCCACCGACCGCATTTTATTTGAACCAATAATTTCAACTGTGTCTGCCACTTTTGTGGCTTTCCAATTTGAGCGTCAAATTTGTTCTTTCGTACAGAGATTCATTTATATATACATACATACGTGTTCCTCTTTCCTTTTCTCTCTTCGTGGTAGAGGTTCTATTTACACTGCGGTTTTTAGTTGGTTGTTTTATTTTCCGCTGCGGTCTAGACACGCTTTTGTTGGTTAATGGCAGTGGGTGGTTGTGAATGGGTCTTTAAGTGTCGCTGCAAGAATATTTGTTTGGTTTTCTTTAAGCTTTAGTTAAGATATTAGTAGAGAAGTGCATATACATACAAATGTACATAGGGCTCTTGATTATTTGCTCTGCTGTATTTGCTCCAAATATTTGGTGACTGAGCCGGTGTTAAAATTTTTTCGGATGAAATAACAGTCAAAAACGTCCAAAGGACTTACATTCTGTCTTTTCGTTTAGATCTTAGTCGAAATCGTATTCTTCCCATCATCCAATTTCCTCAGCTAAGGTACGACTTCTACACACCACAGCTTTTGCTTAAACTCCTATTTACGTAAAGTCTCCATACCCCATCCCTTGACCCTACGTTGGTTTACAGGCTACGTAAGCAAATTGAAGTTGCAGCGGATGCGGATACATAAAGTAGAAGTCCATGTGACGAGGAACTCAAAAAAACCGTATTTTCTATTCGGCTCCTTTCTGAAGTTATCAGCGATATCCGGTAGTCGGCTGGGCATTTGAATTCCAATCGCCACATTTATCGTTCATAAACTCATCATATTCCACTTTCAACCATTAAATCGAGTCTCTCGCTTTTTCCTGTGTTGCGTAACCAGCAAACTAATGCACCATCCTTCTATAACGCGAAATAATCTTCTTGAGATACGTCCGTAGTGCTAGCAGGGTAGCACTCTCTGAGTCGATGCGTCGTTGACAGGTTGAGCTATAAGGATTTTACGGTACTTTTCTTGAGAGCAGGTGGTATAATGAAATTCCTACTTATCTTCAACTACGGTGCCCTCTTCACGAGCTATTCGTGGGACCTTGGCACTGTCCGAATATCCTACAATCAAATATTACATTTGCTTCGGTTAGCAAAGCGAGCGCTGGTGGAGACTCCCTTAAAAGATGCGTGTACCCGCCTGCCTTGTGATAAATTATTTGCCAGAGCAAAACGATTTCGGGTTTGACGATGGTCTATATATCTCGGATGAATAAATTTTGACGTTCTGTAACACTTCTACCCACACGTAAATTTGCCTTCAACTCATTTGAGTCTCGTACATTAAGTTTTATCATTTCATAAAATACTTCACCTTCCATTCTCATTCATCTATATACATATTTGCTTGTGTAACTTTCAGTCCACCACCGACCCAACGATTTCCGTCCGACCGAAACAACCGCTACCGTCCTCCGATGCAAATCTCAGCAATGGAAATTGCATCAAAGTGAAGCCGAACTTAGAAAGTCATTCGTCCGTAGATGAGACAAATGTAACCAAACCGTCCAGCCGTCCAGCTTCTGCACACAATGACATGGACTATGGTATCAGCGTTGATGATGGGAAGGCGGGGGAAGTGATGCTGTTGCCGGGCAATGTGGGCGCGGCCGCAGCACCAACTTCCATCTCAATTCCAATGTCATCGTTGCAAAAGCCCATTGATAACAATAAGTTGACGACAACTCAAGCCAATATTTTTGCTAACAACTCCGTCCAAGAGAACTTTACACGTCCTAATGGCTCTGTCACGAAGATGACTTTGAAAAACAATCACCTGATCGTTGAGACTGAAGAGCGACACGTAAGTGCTCCAATGTTGACATTGACGTTGGACGTGGAACGTTGAATGCCGAGGGCTAAGGTGTGGGAGCTGGAAGCTGGTGGCTGATTTTGAACACTACTTGTTGGGTGTTTTGTGTATTGATAGATAAATGTTATTGGTGTTGTAGTTATCAGTCGACGACGACAACGATGGCAAGTGTTGGGCATTAAAAGATTTGCGTGGCTTTATTTGTCAATTGACAGTTCGGTATGACATACACAAGAGCCCCTGGGAACTCGTGCTCACACGCTCACACGCACACAACTTTTTATCCGAATATGTACAATTTACATATGTATATGTGTGTATGTGGAAGCTCAAAGAACCCAGAAGAAGCCCAACCAGTCACCCAGTCACCCACGCGCCCATAGCTCTTAAGCGTTCAAGCGTTCTAACGTTCCTTCGTTCCTTTGTTTGTTTTACTTGTTCTTCTTCTTATTCATCTTCTTGTTGTTGTACTACTTCTGCACTTATTGTACTTACATACATACACATGTACATATACGTACGCTCTTATTGATACATACTCGTATTTGTTTGCTCTTCTTGTCGTTATCGTAGTCTTTGTTATTCTTACCTTCCTTCGCAATGTATTTTTCATATTTGCTATTGATATTGTTGTTGTTGTTTGCTTGCTCGTATTGTCGTATTTAGATATGTTGGTAAATATGTATGTTTATATTCATATTAGCTATTGTTGTTGTCGTTGCTGTAGTTGCCTTAATTTCGTTGTTGACACATTCAAGACCTTTTTTGCTAACTCAATAGTCCTTTCTTCTCTCTCTCTCTCTCTCTCTGTGTGTTTTCGCCACTTGTTCCTAGTATATGCGCCGTCAATATACGAGTATATAATATATAATGTATGTATATGTATGTATGTAGACTTTTGGAATTCGTCTGTATATACGTATTCTAAAGTTTTTTTAGCCCAATTTGTTGTTGCTACTAACTGTTATTTGCTAATGGAGAATGTCTCCGCATTAGAGTCTCTTCTTGCGAATCCTACCCAGTACTTGAAGAGTCCCAGCTCATCTCTTTTGTTTAATATAAAAATAAAATAAAATAAGATAAAATGAAAATAAATTAAAAAATTTTAAATAATTTAAAAACCGAAAGACATAAAATAAATAATTCAAAACATATGACAATAAAATTTTGCTAAAAACAATAAAGTAAAATTAAAAAAAAAATTAAATTTTAATTGGAACTAAATTAAGTAAGGCAAAAGAAAAAAAAAAGATCCAGAGATCTCCACACACATACCTCAATATTCATTTCATCTCACTTATTCGTTTGTATATATGAAAACGTTCCCAAACTCCGGCACGCAGGCATGTGGTTATGTGTGTATCTACGTGTATGTACTATGTAGGAGTATGTAATTCCTTTCAAAGCTTCTTCTCCGCGTTTGACTTGAAAATACAAATTGTGTTTCCTTAACTGTTTTCCATCTTCCCTCATATTACAGGATATATCCCGCGTCGCGCGTGAAACTAAAATGCATTACAACAACTCGGAAAAGGACGGTGTGTTTGTTGTCGAGGTAGCACGCGGCGTCGACTCCAAGAGCATACCGAACAGCCCAACCAGCGAAGAACCGCGTCCCATCTACCAAACACCACCGGCAGCTGCAGCTGCAGCCGCGGCCACCTTGCGAACAGAAGATGAAAAAGTATTGAGAAACCACGAAGAGATACAAATCCACCAGCCCCCACCAGAGACCATAATTCAACCGGCAAATGGTTTCGAAGAAATGCCCGAACGGAGCCTACATCAAATTATCGAACTGGAAGAACCCACAGTATCGCCACACTCATTTAGAGATGATTCAGCCAAGAAGGCGATCTCTAATCTCGTACGCAATTCCAATACAGGACTCTCACAATCCGACTTGAGTTCATCATCATCCACCGATTCGAACAAACGATATTCATATGGCAATCAGGAGCTCTACACCATTGAGCCAGCTTCCTATGCGTCCGGTTCCCCATCAACCATTTTACCGCTGGTACGTCCCTCAGCACCTAATGAGACTGAGGATGACGATCGTAGGTCAGATAATGGACACAGTCTTGAACATTCGCCTGCTGCTGCACAGGGAAATGGCGTCACTGCGCTGGGCAATGACGGAAGCGTTTGCAATCAAGAGATGTCCAATGATGTGAAAACCAATGAGCAGGTAATAACAGAAAATGATGTGAATGCGGCCAAAAGCAATGAGGCGGAATTATTGCCAGCGAATATTGAAGAGACAGATATTGTACCCGTTAATGAGACAGTGTCGCCTGTCGAGGGGATTTCCGTCGTAGAAAAAATTGAAGAAGACGGAAAAGACAGGCTGGATAGTGATGATGTGGAGGAAGAAGAAAATGAGGAGGAGACCACAGAAATAAATGAAGCGTTGAATGAAGTAGCAGAAAATGAGGACGAAGAAATAGGAAGTGTAAAATGTATAAACAACAATAACAAAGCATTAGAGAATGCAAACGAAGCGCCAGGCCAAAAGGATGCCGAGTGTAACCAAATTTCTCAGACGCTGAGCGATTTTAAAGATGAAATAAATTCAGAAAACGCGCAAAAAATTGACCAAGAGGTGTTAATGAGCACACCAGCCGCAGCTCCTCTCTCCTTCGCCCAACCAATACTTTGCAATTATGGCTACGATAGCATCATAAGTCTGCCAGATCCGCCATCCACCGAGGAGATTAAAGAATTGGGCGAATTCGTCGGTATTGAGAATAACCAATTGGACTCGCTGCCACCACCGTCGCCACCACCACCACCGATTGCTGCTGATATGAATGACAACACAGCTACTGAGAACACAACTACAACAACCACAAGCATCACCGTCACTGACACCGACACCGCCGCCACCTCCACAGTCAAGACTACCACCAACTCTTCCGCCACCGAAGACGCCGTCACTGCGACTCAGTTAATATTAAAGGAAATTTTACAAAACAACCTCCCAGATTCAACGCCTACTAAATATTGCCCAACGTTTGTGACAAACGGTAACTGCCACGGAGACACTACTAACGGCAATGTTATGGAGAATGGGCACAGTTCAGTCGCCGCAAATGAGAGCAATGAGAATGGTCACGAAACAACTAATGGACGTGAAGTGCATTTGGAGCTCAGCCCCAACACCGGCGGCGACAATAACACCGGCACGGGTAAGGTGCCAGAAACACAACTCACACCACCAGAATCGCCACCGCTTTCATCGCCCATACATTACGACAACAGCGTGATTGTGAGTACCATCAACGGCATGAATGGGGTCAACAGAGGCATTTGTGGGGAGCCGCTGCCCATCGCCGTCGATGTTAACGGTAGTTAATACGAATGTCGAGTAGCGGCACTGACTCTCTGCAGCAGACCTTAAATGAAGTGAGCTTCTTAACAGTGGTTCGGGTCCATAATAAGCAATGCGTGATGTCAGTGTTTTCATGAGTAATGAGAGGCGCAGCGGCTTATGGTACTCGGAGGGTGTGTAGAGAATGTCACAACTGTCGAATGCCGAGTTTCGCGAGCAATGCAACGAACGAACGAATCAACCGACCAAACTTAAGTTGACGCGCGAAGTAAAGCGTGTGGCGGCGGTTGGCGGTTTGCGATCTGGTGAGGGAAGCACGTATGTACATACATACGTACATTAGTATATATGCAAAAGAATGAATATAGGATATTTAGTAAGTAAAATGCGTATTTGTATGTTAGCGAGTAAGTTTTTACGATACTTAGTCAATGGCGGCGGTCCCATTTTATAAAGCGATAAAAAGTCCCACAAATTGCAATATACTCTCCAAAGGAATATAATCCCTAAGTCTTCAAGCAGATGATAGATCGAAACAGATGAAAAATAGTCTAAGAGAAAGGCGAAAACAAAGAAAGAAAAAACGGGGTCGGAAATGAGAACGGAGAAGGCTTTTGAACCACAGTCAGCGTTAAGTAAATTCAATAAGCCAAAAAAGGCTAAAGCTCAAAATTTAGCAACGATCAGCAATCAATTAGAAATAAAATTCTTGCAGTTGTATCGCTAAATTTGAAAGTCTTAAATGCACAAAGACAACTAATCTTTTACAATTTCATACGGCAGTTCTGTGCATTGAGACAGTTTCTGCTACACTTCCGATCTTCGAACTTGTGAAAATTTAAGTTTTTATCATTCACAATAGCAATCAGAAAGCACTTTTAAGAAGACAAAAAAATGTAGGGAACTTTTTGAAACCAGATAGGCATTCGGAAATTAAATGCAGATTATGATCTTAATGCACATCAACACTGTCGTCTGTCAATGTAACTGATTCTCAAAGGCGATAAATATTAAAAAGTAATTTTGGAAATTTCTGGAAACGCTAAAAGTCGCTAAATTTAATGCGCTTTCTGCGCAAAATGATTCAATTTATTATGCTTAGACTTTTCCAAAATTGTTTCACTCAATTTTGAAACTAATGCAGTAAACTTTTAAATTTTTTATCGAAATTCGCACGAAAAACCTTCTCCGATTAAGACCAAAATACCCTACAAATGGTTAAACGGAATGAGATTCGCCAATATATACTGAAATATAGTTGTAATAAAATATACATATACAGGCATAAAATATTTAAACAAAAATTAACTGCACACCGAAAGAAAAGGTGTCGATAAATACCAGAAACAAACGAAAATTAACAGAAACTTTCACAAAGAACCCGTTAATCCAATAAACCGATTAATTGCCGAAACTAAATTTATTAGCCCCTTTCCTCAGCTAAATTTATCGAACTAGCGAAGTTCTGTAGTACTTTTTTTTTATATTTGACTGATATCTGAGTCGATCAGATGCAAAGCAAAAATTAAATACATTTAAATATTTATAGTTGTAATTGTTAAAAGTAATAGTTTTTAATAATTTTTCAATTTTCTGTACACATACGACATAAGCAACTGAAAAGTTAATTCACCTTTCATCGCTTTAAGAGTATTTTTTTGGGTTTTTTATAATTTAATCGATTAATCGGTTGAACGATATGATTATTATCGATTTTCGATTTTATCTTTAATTTTTAAGTGATCAAACCATAACCATTCTGAACAGAGTTTGACTAGTTGTATTCCATTTACTACAGCCCTACATATAGCCTTTTAGAAACACAAGTCCCGTTAATTAGTACTTTTGGCTCGTAGTTTTGTAGAATTTCAAACACTTCTCTATAAACAAAAAATATATATTTGCGCTTAGGGATTTCGTAAATCGCATTTAATATATATGTATGAATATAATATAAAAATTGTAGATCAAAATACACACATACACATACATACATATTTAGATTGTATTTATTAGATGTCTAGCAATAGCAGGAAGACAACTTCAAAAGTGAAAAAGTGAAAAAGTTCAAGTGTTGAACAAAAACCTAGTACCAGAAAATTAGCCAAATTTTGCCAGTAATTTATTGAATCCAAGGTATGTAATCGAGAATTAATTAGAAAAACTGAAAGTCGGTAGCGTGAAAATTTTAGTTTTTGAATAAAAAAAAACAGTTGTTGAAACCCCTCTCAAGGTCCTTCTCAGCTCCAACAAAAAGTGTCAAATATGTACCAACAGTGTTTCAATCCTTAGCTACACACTTGCACACCTGCACACCTACACAACCCTTAACACACACACACACATATATATATATATATATAAACAGAAACCTTAGCCTATTTGAATGTCTATTCTACGATATTATTAATTAATTAATCCACTAAAACCGATGGAACCTAAAAACAGAATAGTTTAGATAAAGAAGCGAACAGAAATCGTTTCGATGATTCAAATCAAACAGTAGAAAATTAATAATACCGGTAAATGATTTGAATAAAAATAAATGATGAGCCAAATTACAAAAAATTCGCACACACAGACGCTCGCACAGAGCGACGATCGAAGAGGCAAAAGAATGAAAATGTGCCGATTTTTACATTTTACAAAAACTTTACATTTAAAATAAATTACTTGAAAGACGTGAAAACGAAAAGCTCGTTTGCCAAAGAGAGAAAGAATAATAAAAGAAAAGCGAAAATTTTCTAAAAGCAACATGAAGAAATGACAAAACAGTTACACATTGCCCGCTCGGTGAGAGAGAAACGCCAAAAAATATGCATTGGGAGCGGAGCTTCTAAAATGAGGTTATGTAGCGGAGGCTGGTGAGGAATAATAGTGACTCTCAGTGACTGCTAAATACGTATGTATGAACATATATATGTATATGTCTGTATACAAACTCAGAAACATAGATGCATATGCATTTTATTATTTACATGAATATGAATATTGACGAAATGCACAGGAAGGATATTAAATAAATATAATAAATAAAAAAAAAATTGTTTATTGCATACATAAATTTTTAAATTTTAACAATAAATAGTTATTAATTCATAATGGCAGATAATTAATTGAAATGGCAATGCAACAGCCGATTTTGTAGGCGATAATAATGAGTTTGCCCAAACCAAATTAAGCTGCATTAAAAAAAAAGCAAAAAACAAAAGCAGAAAAGTAAACAAATATTTAATAATAAAGCGTACACAACTAAAAAAAAAATGAAATAAATTGTATTAAATGCCAAATAGCGAGTTGTAAGCACAAGTGAAGGTTAATTTTGTGGATGGAAAATCAAATAAACAAAAACAAAACGCATAAAAGCAGCAAAAAAATACGGACAAAGTAAATGTGATTGTTATTTAAACTTGAAACAAAAATTATTAATATTAATAATAATTATGGTAAATGAAAAATGGTAATAAATAAATTAAACTCAAAAATAAATAACGAGTTGTTATTGAAGTTTCGCGCTTTCGGCGGATAATTACTGTAATTTCATACATGAGAAATAAGAAATTTCGTGAAAAAAGTTAGTGATTTTTGTAACTTATTTTGCATTGTTTTGTTTGTGAAAAAATGTTTAATGTTTTCATTGATATAAAGAGTTCAATAGTCATGTGTTGGTAAGTGTAGGGTTATCCATTTAGTGGTTTGAAAAATGCAGGGCTGTATTTCAACATTTGTCCAACTAAACTAGCAAACCAAACATGTTTTGTTTTAATTAAAAATCAGGCATTTACGGCAAAAGAATCACTTAAGTACAACCAAAAGCGCTAAATTTGCTGACACATACTAAGGCGCCCCCGTTTCCTGCTTTAGGAGGAGATTATGGTGAACGTAAGTCCAACTAGTCAAGCAATTGGTAAAAGTTTTAAGAAATTTGAAGAGAGGGACAGCGCTTTTCTGTGCATTTGACAAATTAACAAAATACTGTTAATTTATCAACCTATTCTAGCAACATAAAGCTTCAGTTTGTTGTGCTTTTCCCCAAACGTGTGGTGAACAATGAAATGTAAACAAAAATCAGCTGTTAGTAAAGTCAATTATTTTAGAATAAAAGAAAAATAAATTGACAAATATGTGTAGGTCTATTTGTCAAGAGCTTTTGGCATCTTAACAATTCATCAAGAAAAGAGCTTTATATTTTTGACACGAAATAGAAAAATCTGCACAGAATAGGCCTGTAGATCGCATATTTTCAAACCTGTGTATCATCGCTCAGCTCCTTCTACCTCCAATATCGCCAGTGAGTGAAAGTGTAGCCGAAGACCCGATTGTTTGAAGTTCTCAAAGGTTGCAAAAGCTCGAACTTTTTTTTGCACAGTTTAGGCTTACATCCACATCTTTTTTAAGTCCAGCTCACGCAACAACGGAAGCAAGCTGACAGGTAACAACGCCGTACATTAGACGATTGGGGATGCTTGAACAACAACCGGTGGACGGCGATTTTTCCAATTTTCTTCAGTGCGAGACTCAATACTGTCGCAGGGCGATTACACCCTTTGGATACAAAACCTTCGATCGGATTTTATGGGAATATCAGCATCCACATTTAATTTATCACATTGTGTACAATAACAAATTTAACGCTCTTAGATACTTTTTAACGGTTAACTGACCCAAAATCTGAAACCTGAGAAATCGGACGCACATACAGTGACTCACATCGTGTAAGGTAAGTAGTGCATTTTGATTCTATCTCAATTTTTTGTTATTACGTGCTCCCACTCAGAGCCGGACAGCTAAGGTTAACGGTAAAATTAGTAAAATCTGTAGGCAAATTTGGAAGTTTTTGCCGTCATATTGTCGGTTTATGTTTTTCAGAAGTTCATATAACGAGCATCATGGCTTCAGAGTACAGTCGTAGCAAAGCAAATCAGTATCAATGACCACGCCAAGGGCCTTTCAATTGGTCAATCGGCCAATATCTTCAATGAAAGCAAATCTACCGTGTTTGATATTATTCAAAAATACAAAACCGAAGGTAAAATTACTAATGAAAAAACATCGGAGGTTATCACGTCGGGATGAACGGTACCATATGGGGTTGTATGTCTGCGGGTGGCGTCGGTTCTATTCATTTAGTTGATGGCATAATGAATGCTACGAAATATATTGATATTCTAAAGGAAAAGTGAGAAGTCAGCATCCAAAAATGCGTAATTATTGATACTTTTTCATTTGATCAGGGCAATAATCCAAAACACAACTCCTGGATAGCAAGCAACTGGCTGCTGTATATATACTTGTCCAAAGGTAATAGATCTGCAGCTTAGACGCCCGACTTGAATGTTATTGAACATTTGTGGGAAAATTTAAAAATTAGAGTGACCCTCGCATTCATAATCTTTTCCTTCTGCTCGGCTTTTGGATTCACCTTATGTTTGAAAAAGTTCCTTCGTGCTCGGAAGTCTTAATGTTTGGAAGCGGAAAGTGGAACCAAAAATTTCACATACGAATGATTTTCAGAGGAGCGAAACAAATGTTTATTTAGTTACTGATCGATCTCAGGTTTTGATAAATTTTATATAGAGTTCTTGCGTTATCATGTTGAGATGATTTTTTCTCATGATTTCTTAAGCCTCTATTGCCTTTTGAATTTTTTTACTCGTAATTGGGAACCTCTACAAGGCAATTCTACAAATCCTTTTATGATTCCACACCGTGCGAATGCGTGGATTCTTTTGTAGTTCACGGTCTACATTTTTTTTTAGTTTGATTGCTTAAAATTTGTTCTTGCGGCAAGACGAAAATGCGGCTGAGATTTCATACTGTTAATGATACCTATGTGAATATAATTATAAATAATTGGTGCTGTGTAGTCTAAAACGACTTCCTGGATCTTTTGTTTTATGCCAGAAATTCACCCGGATGGCTTGCCATTTTATGTCGAAGGGTGACGGCAATTACAAAATGGACCTTCTCTACTTTTGGAATTTTGGAACAGTATTCGAACCATGACCTTCCGAATGGTAGTGCGCAACACTAACCACTCGACTAGTGTGACCGATAGCTATGTATAGGTAGCGCACATATCTACAATTTACCAATTTTCCAGGATGTTAAGTTCAGAACTGGATGGACGTGAGCAGCCATGCCTGCAACTTTTCATTTCAGTGTCGATAGCAATGCCAATGCCAGTGGATGACAGCCACCCTGTCAATGCCATGATAACCAGCTAAATAGAAATAAGTATCTAAATATATGTGAATAGCTTGTATTTAAAACTTATAATAAGAATTTCAGAATATGTGTAGTAACCAAGGTGTATTTGTTGCTGGTGTTGTTGGCCTGGCACCGCGTGAGCTATATTGAATAAGTCGTGAATACGAACGACTCTGCCATAATAATAACAACAACAATCAAAGCCAGTACTACAGAAATATAAACATCCACAAGGTATGCACTTCCAAATGACCTGTGGCACACAGCCACTCTTCTTCTTCGTTGGCGTGTCTATATAAAAGGCCGCAAATAAAATTGTCTACCTTTGTGTTCTCGTCTGGCTGTGCAGGTGTGGGTGGTGGGTAGTGGGAGGGAGGTGGTGAATCTCGTGAAAGGCGAAAATATTTAATGAAAGAATTGACAACAGCCGCACCGAGGGCCGCAAGCGTTGCATGCTACAGAAAGGATCGGCATGGAGGAATGCACAAATACGTAGGTTAGGTTTGCATGAATATGAGTGGTATTTGCTCGTGTACATGTATGAATGCCACAGGGAATTTATTTTCGCGGGCGCTATGATTGCTTGCTACAGCTGCTTGTGCTGCATTGCCGCAGGTGGCAATCACAATGTCGCTTATAACTTGCTACAGGCTGCGACTCGCTTTATAGACTGGCAAAGTATTTGAGTTCAAGTTTGGGTAAGCAAAAAAGGAGAGTAATCGATTTTTAAGTAATTTTTAGGTAGAGTAGGTGAGCGTACCTTAGAGGCTCCGGATATCCGTTTACCTGAATTGCGACGGAACTTTAATTTATTGGGAAGGCTTGATATATTTTTTCGACCAACTGGGAGGCCCGACAGCCCTCTGCAGCAGCTTTCCTTCTTTCGATATTGTCGCAAAGCTTTGGTTCCCAATTAGTTGAAATCGAATGTCGAAATCCACCGCCGAGCCAATCTAACATCGAGCAAGTGCTACTTTAGACTGAGCTGGCAGGTTAAATGAAAATCCGCTCGCAAAGGCAAACATCAAGTTCCACAAGTCGCACAATAAAATTTCTTCAAAAATTAACCTACCTATAATGTTTCAGTCAATGGGTAACGCTATAGCGCCATGATTAATGACTTTTTCGTCCCTGATTTGCAGGATGTTGTTGTGGACCACCTTTGGTCCCAACCATACGACGTTACATGGCATACAGCCAGCGAACTTTCAAAGAAAATTTTGGTGAGCGCAATATCTCGTCTCCCTAATCGTGCGACTTATCGCCGGACTAGTTTTTGTGCGGTTATGGGAAGTCACTTATCTACGCAGATAATCCCGAGACGATAGATGGCTTGGAAGAAAATATTTGGCTCGTTACTTCTGGCTTACGCCCGTAATTGCTGGGAAAAGTGGTTGAACTTCGAATCTCGTCTTTAAGTCGTTTTCCTTCCCCGAATAAGTACTTATTCAGTGCGTTAAAAATAGTTGCACCAATTCTCAATTCCCTTCTTCTTCATGCAAACATTAAATTTATTATCAAATCAAATGACTACAAATGTACCGTTTGTTGAGACTCTTAGCTTCATTATAAAAGAATAGAAGCTTAGTTATTATTATGTACATCTGTATGACGGGCACACACATACATAACCCAACCGAGCAACGGAGCACCCAACCGACATTACCCTCGAGCTCAGGTTCGTGGCATGAATATTTTGCGAATTTCAGGTTAAAGAAATAAGAGCCTCACGACTGCTGCAGAGATAAATGTATGCATGTCTGTAAGTTTCAGCAATTGGATTGCTTGCACCGAGTGCCCGGAAGCGCAACCATTCAAATACATATATTCACATTTCTTAGCGACCCACAGACCCTTGTGCTGTGCTACTTTTGTGGCAAGATGACGAACTAAACACAATTACAGACAACCAAACATAGAAAAATGGGCAGGCAGGTGACTGCAACACAGCTTGCGGCATGCAACCTTTCCTTTCATAAGCGTTGGGTCATTTACGAGCGGAATAAGTGAGAAATGAAAACGAAATAGGGCAAAAAAAGCCAAATACAAAAGGGAAAATGGCAGATTTGAATCGAGTTGAGAGGAAGCGTATACGAATCAACGAGCGAGGCCAAGATGCAAACCATAATAACTTAACCATTAAATTTTGTTGCATGTATATGTGTGTGTATGTGTGTTGTAAAATTACATTGCATAATACTGCAACTATATACAGAATTATACAAAAATACGCGTAAATATAAATTTAGTGCATAACCCATGGACTGCCAAGCGAGGAGATTTCCTTAAGGGAAATATGGGTGTACATCTGGTACTAGTGACACCCGGGTGTGTTGCACAAGCCCAAAACTAATATTAAAATAGTGAGAAGTCATTGACACCATTGCGAAAATCTCCATTATGGAGATTGGTGCCTTCACCCCAAGCAATTAATCTCGTTTTTAAATTTTTTCGGGTCCTTATTTTGCGTTGTCTTCGGTTTAATATCGGCAGAAGGGAGTGCTGAACCATATGATAGTGTGAGTGTCGCGCTGCTTGAAGCCCCGTTTGAAAGCAATGACTCGGAGAGGTTCTTTCCAATATTGTCTATACAGAAGTGAAGCGGCTTAGAGACAGTTCATTTTGTACTTGCCGGAGGCAGAATTAAAATCTGCAAGCAAATGGTGTGGGTTCATCCATGTGTCAAAGGGCATTTCCAAAATATTGGGCATATACCAAGTCTAAAATAACACTGAAGGTGGACTAAAAAAGTTGCACACGTTGAAATTTCAAAACCGCGAATTCAGCGCCGTCGAATTAACTTTACCGGACAAAGTCTACAAGCCCTTGCCTAGCAAATTTTAGTTCCGCTGTTATCTATATTTCGAACAGACACAGATAAATATTCAACGTATGCAAGTATCGTCCGACGGGTAACAAGCCTGAAAAGAAATTTTGTTCCGTGGATCTTTTTACTTGAAGGTTTTCCACGATCTGCTGTACCACCGAAATATTTATCGACGTCATTTTCATAATTCGTATTCCAATTCCTGGTTTTGTCTTGTGGAACCCCTCAACTTGAGGATATGATCCTTTCATTGTCAAATGTCTATTGCCGGATCTTTAGAATCCATATGAACCCAAATTAGTTGAATGGTAAAACAGAAATTTCGCACAGAAAAATGGGCGGATGGGAAGACCTTTCAGTTGTGCAACATATTGCGGTAAAAGAACTTAAGAACTTTTATGTAGTCTCGTTTTCCGCGGGACACATCTTGTACGTATGCATATGAGTAGGTATGCACGTGTATTCTGCATTTACAATGTGACGACTTCATTTGCCGCTTTCAAGTTTGTTGGCCATTTGAAAAATTGCATTGCATGCTGAAAAGCAGTTATTGCAGCTGATATCCTGTTGCTGCTGCTAATTCTGCTGCTGTTGTTATTGCTGCTGTTTCACTCACTTCTATTAATGTTACTACTGTTATTATTATCCTACCTGCAGTGGTTGCACATACACATTTTTAAACAAGCTATCTTGTTATTTTTTATTGCTTCTCTTGCTGCTTTCATTCATCCATTCATTCGTGTATTCATTTACATATATATGTATGTATTGTATATATACGTAAGTATAATAACACAAGCATAAATTGTTGCAGATTAAGTGCAGAGACTTAAGGTAAATGAAAAGTGGCAGCCAAAGCCAAGAATTGTTAGCATTTACACACACATGCATATATGCATACATACATACTAACGTACAATCATACAAACATACAAACATATTTACTTTTGTAAAATAAACGCAAACGGCATCTCCAGAAGATTTAGCAAAAACGATATTAAATTTAAATTATTTCCAGGGAAGAATACTTTTTTTTAATTTGCCTTGAAAATTAGAAAAAAATTTTGGAAAAAGAAACATAAAAATAAAATTTTCTGTT